CTGGAAAGACAATGGGAACCCGAATGACTGAATATGCTGTAGAAATTATTTTGTGGAAGTTTTATGGCCTGTGTTTCACAGCAAGTCAGACGAGATTAACAAAATGGCCCATGTTGGTCTTGGAATCTATGAATATTAAAAAAAACCAAACCACTCTTGAATGGGTTTGGAGGATAGAAAAGTGGGTATGAATTTCAAAAGTTAAGATGTTTACATGTTTTCAGGAGAGGACTTAAGAGACCCAGCAGGTTCAAGTCCTTGCTTTGCTACAAACTTCCTCTGGGCAAGTCTTTCTGTGTCTCTATTCCCCATCTGGAAAATGGGGCTGATGGTACTACTTTACCTCACAGGGGTGTTGTGAGGAGAAAGACATTAAAGATCGTGAGGTGCTCAGATACTACAGTAAGGGGGGGGCATATAAATATCTCTAATAAACACATAGGATGGGGACTTAATACTTTTTTACACTTGCCTATTTCTAAATACTTGGGGTGTAATCCTGACCCTCCATTAAAGTCAACATTAAAACGCCCTCTGACTTTAATTACACCCTTGGAGTTCTTGTCTTCATTGTTCCATATTGGTGCATTTCTGTATGCCACAAGATGTGTGCTATTAACTCCTTGTTCAATTTGGAATAAACAAAACTGTTGACTTTATTTGTCTGTATTATGTCTGACATACTTTACCTGCTGCTCACTAAAAGCTCTGTATTAAATTTGAAAAAGTATAAATGCTGAACATATTTGCCAAAGTGGATCAGAGTATTACTCCATCAAGCTCACTATTCTGCTTCTGTCATTAACTAAGACTCAATGTTTTGGTGTTTCAGAGGAGAATATTCCCTCCTCTAGATAATATACCTACATGAATGTGGAATGCTGTACAACATGTGTGTTTAAGGGAGAAGGACATTCTTTACTGACCCTCGCAAGCAATTACCATGAGATTTGGTTACCCTTTAAAAAGCTTAGGTAGCTTGTTGTTAAAGATCACAATTACCCAATCCTCTTTAATTTTGAATTTCTCACATATGTTCCTGGTTCTCTTTCCTCAGGCACTCCTGCAAATTTATAACCCCTCAGCACACACAAGTTTAGATTATTTGGCCCAATATTAATTACATTACAGTTATGGAAGTTTAAATCATCTTTCATTGTGCTGCCCGGTTCCATAATGTACTTAGATCCATCTGAAGTTATTCATGATTCTCCTTAGTTTTCCTAAACAAAATAGTTCTGTATTGTCAGTAATCTTCATCAACTGTTTATCCACTTTCCCCTTCAAACCATTAATAAATATATTGAACAACACTGATTCAGATACTGGGCATGAATCCAATTCCTGAGCTATCTGACTACTAACTTCTCTGTCTTCTGAGGACCATTTAATTATTCTAATATTGTTTTCCTATTGACTAGTGAAATGGAGAAAGACAGAGGATCTGTAATTTCATACCTGGGGCAAAGAACTTGACATACAAATAGTCTGTTTAGAGACTCTGTCAGAGTTTAGCCCTAATTTTGACATACATTCAAATTGATTATTTTGGGGAAAAGCCTATTGATTCCAACACTGCAGGTGAGAAATCAACACAACCAGTTTAGATTGTGTTTTTGTTCCTTGCTCAAGAAGGGTAGGAGGACTGAGCACTTTGGTGTTGCTTCTTCTGCTAGAACATGACCAGCGCACAGTCAGTTCAACTCTAGCTCCTGCTGAGTTTTAAGAACAGCTCTCCTAGCACAGAGAATGAAACTGACTAGGCATCATTTAGTTTCCCTCAGTGCAGAGAGCTCAGCTCCAGATGGAAGTAAAATGAGGTGGATTTAGGCATCAGCTGCACTCTGCAGGTTTGATTTTGGGGGCAGGGGAGGAGAGATTGGGAGGAGGAGGAAAGATGTGGGAAGAGATGCAGAGGATGGCTTCTCTACATTCAGATATCACTGTTAAATAACCTGCTAGACAAAAGATATATTTGTAATTTTGGAGTTAACTTTCAATTTTTTTTGCTTTCTCTGTCACTTTCTAGGATTATTGCACAAATTCTGGAAATCGTACTGTCCCCCCATCCTTCCTCTTTTTAAACATTTGTTCTTTAGACTTGTCTGTAATACAAAAGGTTATTGTGTACAAATATGATTGTGAAGAAGCAAATTAAGCTGATATCATGCTGACCAGGGGTTTAACTATCACTAGATGATTTTATTATTCCAATATTTACCTAGCCCTAATGACTAAAGACATCAACTAGGTTGAGCCCCATTGTGCTAGGGGCTGTACAAACATATACTACATGACAACCTCTTCCCCAAAGTGCTTGGGACCAAATTTTTAAAGGTATTTAGGTGCCTAAAGAGACAGATAAGTATCTAGTGGGATCTTTAAAGATGCAGATAGGTACATTTAGGTGCCTAAATACCTCTCAAAATCTGACATTACATTTTGTAATGTAGACCATCCAAAAAGTTTAGGAACTGATTTAAAAAAAAATGTTGTAGATGAGGCATTGGGGAAGAAAATAAAATTCTGGAATGGGTGTGGAGTGTTTGTGATAATCCCAGAACTGGAGATTGCTTAATGTTGCACAGTGGTATGATTGCTCTCCATAATGTATGATGGTTCCTTATACTGATTCATAGCAACGCCCGTTGTTCTACATGGGTCCTTATGCTGTGCTCATCACTGTAATATCTGAATGCCTTTCAGTAGTGCATTAAGTAATGTAACTATACATCTGTGACATGTCGTTTGTTCTCTCATCCTCTTCCCTGGGGCAGAAACTAGTGCACTGGAGTAGCTTGTTTGGGTAGCAGTTTAGGTTTGTTTGTTTGTTGTGTTGGTTTTTTTTCAGTATATATTGCTATGTATATATGTGAGAGAAGGCAAGGTCAAAGACATGTCAGCATTGCATGAGTAAGTTATGTCACACGGCCTTGTGTAGCAGCATAATGATGGGATGAGAAATTGCAGGTATGTAATGGTGGCGGCATGGTGATGTGGAAAGGCATACTGAAGCGCAGTGGTGATGGTGCTTGCACACCTGCAGGGTAATATGGAGTAACAGTGAGTGGTTATGATGGAGTGTCGTGATGGTATTTGGCATATAATAGCAGTGCAGTGGTGTGGTGTGACGGTGCGCTGGCGTGATGGTGAGGTGGCACTGCAATGACGTGGTGTGATGGTGCGCTGGCGTGGTGGCGATGGTGCAGTGGAGTGGCGTGATGGTGCGCTGGCATGGTGGTGGCGGCGGTGCAGTGAAGTGGCGTGATGGTGCAGCGGTGTGCTGGCACTGCAATGACGTGGCGTGATGGTGCGCTGGCGTGCTGGCGATGGTGCAGTGCAGTGGAGTGGCGTGATGGTGCGGTGGCACTGCAATGACGTGGTGTGATGGTGCGCTGGCATGGTGGTGATGGTGCAGTGAACTGGTGTGATGGTGCAGCAGTGCAGTGGCACTGCAATGATGTGGTGTGATGGTGCGCTGCCGTGGTGGTGGAGATGGTGCGGTGGAGTGGCGTGATGGTGCGGTGGCACTGCAATGACGTGGTGTGATGATGCGCTGGCATGGTGGCAGCGATGGTGCAGTGGGGTGGCGGCGATGGTGCAGCAGTGCAGTGACGCTGGTGTGGTGGCGGCGATGGTGCAGTGGAGTGGTGTGATGGTGCAGTGGTGCGGTGGCACTGCAATGACGTGGTGTGATGGCGCGCTGGCGTGGTGGAGATGGTGCAGTGGAGTGGCGTGATGGTGCGGTGGCACTGCAATGATGTGGTGTGATGGTGCGCTGGCATGGTGGCGATGGTGCAGCGGAGTGGCGTGATGGTGCAGCGGTGTGGTGGCACTGCAATGATGTGGCGTGATGGTGCGCTGGCGTGGTGGCGATGATGCAGTGGCACTGAAATGACGTGGTGTGATGGTGCGCTGGCGTGGTGGCGATGGTGCAGTGGCATTGCGATGACGTGGTGCGCTGGCGTGGTGGCGATGGTGCAGTGGAGTGGCGTGATGTGCAGCGGTGCGGTGGCACTGCAATGACGTGGTGTGATGGTGCGCTGGCGTGGTGGCAGCGGTGCAGTGGAGTGGCGTGATGGTGCGCTGGCGTGGTGGCGATGATGCAGTGGCATTGCGATGACGTGGTGCGCTGGCGTGGTGGCGAGGTGGCACTGCAATGACGTGGTTATGATGGAGTGTCGTGATGGTATTTGGCATATAATAGCAGTGCAGTGGTGTGGTGTGACGGTGTGCTGGCGTGATGGTGAGGTGGCACTGCAATGACGTGGTGTGATGGTGCGCTGGCGTGGTGGCGATGGTGCAGTGGAGTGGCGTGATGGTGCGCTGGCATGGTGGTGGCGGCGGTGCAGTGCAGTGGCGTGATGTGCAGCGGTGTAGTGGCACTGCAATGACGTGGCGTGATGGTGCGCTGGCGTGGTGGCGGCGGTGGTGTAGTGGAGTGGCGTGATGGTGCAGTGGCACTGCGATGACGTGGCGTGATGGTGCAGTGGCACTGCGATGACATGGCGTGGTGGCGAGCTGGCGTGGTGGCGATGGTGCAGTGACACTGCGATGACGTGGCGTGATGGTGCAGGGGCACTGCGATGACGTGGCGTGGTGGCGAGCTGGCGTGGTGGCGATGGTGCAGTGGCACTACGATGACGTGGCGTGGTGGCGAGCTGGCGTGGTGGCGATGGTGCAGTGGCACTGCGATGACATGGCGTGATGGTGCAGTGGCACTGCGATGACGTGGCGTGGTGGCGAGCTGGCGTGGTGGCGATGGTGCAGTGGCACTGCGATGACATGACGTGGTGGTGCAGTGACCTGACGCGATGACGGTGCGCTGCCGTGTCGTGCCAGGCCTGGCCCGAAGACTCCCTCCCCGGGCTGAGACCCCGCACGCTCGTTTCACGGAGGGCCCCGGGGGGCGTGGCCGGCGGCGGGCGGCACCAATGGGAAGGAAGCGGGAGGGCGGGGCCAGCCGGGGGGGCGGGGGCGGTTCCGCGAACAAAGAGCGAGCGGCCGGGCTGGCGGCGCGGAGCTCGCGCGGGAGGGAGCCGCTCACCTGGGCCGAGCCGGAGCCGGCACCGCCATGCGGGGGAGGGCGCCGCCGCCGCCGCCCGGGAGCAGCGCGGGCCCGGCCGCCTGATTCGGGGGAGCCAGCGCGAGAGAGCGGAGCCGGCGGCGCTTCCTTCCCGCCCATGGCAGCCCCAGGCGGCGGCTGCGGGTGAGGCGGGGGCCGCGGCTCGGGTCTCGGAGGGAGCGGTCGGCAGGGCCGGGCATGGCGGGGGTCAGCTACTCGCCGCCCTGGTGGGTGAGTCTCCTGCACCGCCTGCCGCACGTCAGCCTGCGCTGGGAGGCCGCCAGCGCCGACTTCCGCCCGGAGGACGCCGAGTACCAGCAGGTGAGGGGCCGCCTGAGGGGGCCGGGTCTCGTCAGTCTCTCCTCCGACGCCCCCCGGCTTGGCGTGCGCTGCGCCCCCCTCCCACGGGGTAGATCCACCGGGGGGGGGGGAGAGTCTGTCCTGCCCTGCCCCGCCCATGGGGTAGATCCACCGGGTGTGTGTGTGGGGGGGGAGAGAGTCTGTCCTGCCCTGCCCCGCCCACGGGGTAGATCCACCGGGTGTGTGTGGGGGGAGAGAGTCTGTCCTGTCCTGCCCCTCCCATGGGGTAGATCCACCGGGTGTGTGTGTGGGGGGGAGAGAGTCTGTCCTGCCCTGCCCCGCCCACGGGGTAGATCCACCGGGTGTGTGTGGGGGGAGAGAGTCTGTCCTGTCCTGCCCTGCCCCTCCCATGGGGTAGATCCACCGTGGGGGAGGGGTGAGAGAGAGTCTGCCCTGCCCTGCCCCGCCCCTCCCACCGGGGTAGATCAGCCATGGGGCAGGTTGCCCTCTCTGACTGTAGTCTATAATACATCTTTTCAGTATTTTCTCTCTCTTCCTCCCCCCCCCCCCCCCCCACCAGGAGAGAGGCAGGAAATTATTTAGCCCCTGGAACAATAGCACAAACCCTGAGCTCCTTTGAGAGCATCCGAAGCCTTCCTTCCTCTGGGGGAGGGTAAAACACCAGCCCCTTGGGCCCAGCTGCCAAATAGGGATGTGGCTCTTCGGGCTGGAAAAGGTAACGCTGCCACAGGCTGAGCTGCCCAGGTGAGGCACAGGCGCTGCCTTCTGTCCTGTGGCTGAATGATAAGTACTTGGCTTTCCTAACCGCTGTGCTGCCACTTAGTACAAAATATCCCATCGTACATAGGATTGGAGTGGTGGTTCAGATAGCTCAGCACCCTGCCTTTGCTGGGACTCAGTGAAATGTTCAGTGTCTCTTTCTGAAGCCAGCTAAAATGCTTGGTAGACAGAAGGAGTAGTAGCTACATAGGACCAAGTGTGTGAGGAGACGCTGGCAGAATACTTGTGTCCTTTACGTTGTTTAACCTGTACTTGGGTGACTTGCTGTCTAATTAGAATGATGGTGGAGTGGATCTGTGTATTCTAACATCTGTGTTCTCTGCTGCCATCTTAGACTGGAGCTGCAGTGATTCTGCTGCCTCGTTGTGCCACGCTCTTTGGCTTTGAAAACACCATTTTGCTTCACTGAATATACTTAGTTCTGTAGGGCACCACAATACCATAATGCATAAATGGGAAGGCGTCTAAGCAGTGCTTACATACTGTAAAGAGATACTGCTAGCTAAAAGATTCCTATAGTATCTTTGTTTTTAAGTAGCTTCAGATTGCAGAATTGATTATAGCAAAAACTGTTCTTGGATCTCTCTTTATTTAATAATTAATAATAAAAAAAGTGGGTAGGTGACTACAAAAATCTCTATGAATCTGAGAGCAAAATTATCCTCTGATCTTCAACCTTGGTCTTTCTTGTCTTAACTCATCTGAATTTCCTTGGTTTGAGGGGAAATCAAGATGTGCAGTGTTTGTGTGTGTTTTTTTTTTTTTTTAAACAAACCCCAAAACTACATATGTCCAATGGTTTTAGCTTGCTTCTGTGGACTGAGGTAGTTGCCTCCTGTAGTGAAACAAGGAGAGTGAGGTATTGAAGAGGAGAAACAAAAGTGTAGGATGGGGAAAACTGTTCTTGAATTATGAAAGAAACACAGTAGTCAGTCACTCAATATATATCTGATATGCTTGTGTTTTTAATAGTTTAAAATAGAAGTACTTATTTCAAGTTTGGTATGCTCTGTATAAGTTATAAAATACTCTCTCACAGTAGTTCTGTTGAGACTTAGTGTTACAGTGAAGTCTTGGGGTTGGTAAGCCTCCTGTTGTTCCTGCCTTGCACAGTTGCAAAAAGTGTGTGCTAGTTAAGGACTTGTTTTTGCCATTGCTGTATGGCTATTTTAACTCTAGTCAAACCAGAAATCGAGGGTGTAAGTTGTGTGTGTTTTGAATGTCAACCCTGCCTATTTCAGTGTTGTTTATGTATAGCGCATAACCTCTGCAGCTCCATGAACAAATGTAAAGATAGTAGCAATGTTCCATCCTTTTGCTGACTCTGAATGAAGATGCTCTGATTCTGGAAATGGAAAGACATGTCAAGGATTTGTGTGCATGTGTGCAAAGCATAATATAATACAATAAAACTAGAAAGTGTAACCTGATGGTCAAAGTAACATTGCAATCACTTCCTTCCTCCTGGTTTGAATGCTTGTTTTGTCAGTATTTTGAGCATGAATTTGAATATCCTTTTTGCTCCATTTACAGTTCATGCAGACCTATCTTTTTTTTTCCTGCTAAATACAACACAAGTAACTTAACGTGCTCCGTTCTTCATGCACTTTAAGTACTTAAAATATAGGCACTTCTGTTTAAACTGGTTCTTGGAATTTGCACAAAAAAAAAATTCTCTGAGCATATGGTGATGGTGCATTTTCCCCTGCCCCCTAGCTTTCAGTACCTAGAAAGGTAGTTTTTCCTATATTAAATGTAAGCATGCAGTGTAGCAGCTTGTAGTTCTATCAGTGTCCTTGATTGCACTCTACTGAGCTAACTGGAACTGACGGTAATGCTGGAGACTTCATAGGTGCACTCTATCCTTTCCCTCTCCTATCTTTAGTAAGGAGGGACGGGAGAATATGCTTTTATTGGTCTTCTGAGAATTGTCAAGCCACTAGATAGTTAGACCCTTGTCATGAGCTGATATCCACACACTTACCAACAGGGCTTCTGAGTAAATCAGAATTGGAATGGAAATACTTTCTTAAGGAAATGGCATCCTGTTCCTTCATCAGTCTTGGGGGTAGGGGGAGGAAAGGATATTTTCAGTTCCCCAAAATAGACTAATAAAGATAGGTTTCAGAGTAGCAGCCGTGTTAATCTCTAAGGTGCCACAAGTACTCCTTTTTCTTTTTACGAATACAGACGAACAAATTTATTTACGCATAAGCTTTCGTGAGTTCTCACGAAAGCTTATGCGTAAATAAATTTGTTCGTCTCTAAGGTGCCACAGGTACTCCTTTTCTTTTTGACTAATAAAGATGGTGATCTTGAAAGCTGTTCTCTTGTATTCATGCATTTCCTGTATCATCCAAATATGAACTTTGAAATGCAACCGTTCTGTGCTATGTTACAGTAGCCATTAAACATAGTACCAGTATTGATTTAGCCTCTGCTTTGTAAGTGTAGTATGGCTTTTTTTTTTTTCTTTCTCCCAGGTGGATTGGCAAGATCAAATAGGTCTTTCCATGATTAGTGTAATGAGTAAGACACCATTTAGCGCAATGGAAGCTATTTGATGTCTGCTGAAACCGGTGTAATGCTCGTGTGGTTTTAAGTTGAACCCGTTCTGCTTGTCTTTGAGGTCTGAATCCTTCCTGTGTCTATTGGGACCCTTGTGTGTGCACATGTGGAGCTTGTAATTGGTAGCTCTGTTCTGCATGTAATAAGACAGTGCTGTCCTGTGTCTCTGCTTATTTGCCTGGAGATAACTGTGACCAGTTGTGTTCTAGTAACTGGGACTACATCCTTTTTGTCTGAGAACATGAGGGATCCTTATGGCAACAGTGTGACTGTCTGTCTCAACTGGGGGGGGCGTGTATGGCTATACCCTTTTGTTGGCTGTTGAGGGCCTCTAAACAACCTGTGGTGTTGGCTTTTTGTGCGCTCCCACCTTCTGTCACTATATGTTCAACTGACAGGTTAGAACAGGCTGTGTCGGAAGAGGAGAATGGGCCCTCCAGGGTGGATTAGGTTGGTTATTCTTGAAGAGGTTCTCATTTTCTCTTCTGGTGTTACTACCTTAAGTCCAAAGTGAGGCTTTAAATGCTTCACATCAGTTATAGCAAGTTGTCTCTCCCTCCATAGAAAGAGTGGAGTAGGTAACTAGGGGAGAAGAGGAAAGGAGACAGTAGTTGTGCAACTGCTAACTAGATTAGGATGAAGGAAGAGGTTTCCCTCTGTTTCTGGGGGTAGAGGGACTCTGCTTTCATGTTTCTGGTTTCCATGTGTTGCTTTGAGGGTTGCATCTACTGAAATCACTCTCTAGAGCAGGGGTTCTCGCAACAAATTTTTGGGTGGCCTCAGAGTGCAGCCACCAACTCTTGCTGGTGGCCACTCTGACAATTTTTGCAAAAATACTTTAACTTTAGGAAAAACAAACAAATGACACATGTCCAAATCCTTATAATTGATGTAGGGCTTTTGCAGACTGAATTTTAAGAAGTACAGTTTTCTAGTCATTATTGGACCTAAACAGAATAGAAACACAAGGTGCTTTGAAGGTGTGTGTGTGTGTGGGTTTTGTTGTTGTTTTTAGACTTACTAGCTAGCAAGTCTGCTGTGAAAAGTGACATTTTTGTATAATTGTTAATATCACTTTTCACAGCAGATTTACTCAGCTCCAGCAAGCTGGGGGACAAATTAAGCCCTGGATGGGGCAAGAGGTGATAGGGGGCTAGATGAGAGGCAGCGGGAGATGGGGGAGGTGAACCAAGAGCGAGAGCCTGGGGCTCTAGTGCACAGATGGGGACTGGAGGAGGCTGTGAGAGCCAGGGGTGATGTGTGGGGGGTGAGCCTGTGGCTGGGGGATGGAGCCTGCTGCTGCACAGCTGGAGCCTGTCGCCCACCTCCCCAGGGCTTAAGCCTGAAGCCCCAGCCCCATCGGGGACTCGTGCTGGCTGCCTACTCCTACAGTGTTTGTGGCTGCAGGAGGGGACCAAGACCAGCCCCTGCTGGTGGCCCTGAGGGAGGGTTACTCCCTGCCCCCCCCCCATCATTACCCAAAAGGCTGTGGCTGCAAGAAAAGCCCCTGATGGCTGCATTTGAGAAATGCTGCTCTGGGGCATCTTCTCAGATAGACCAGGTCACTCCCTCCCCCTTGCATGGATCAGTGGGATAGAACAGTTATATCTTGAGTTATAAGCAGTTGTTTCAGCTGTATCCTCCTCCTGAGT